TACCACGTACGTACAAGTACATGTTGTGGTTCAATTCTATCCCTGGGTTAAAGTTTATTTTCCTTTGTTTCAAACTCATTATCAAACACTACCATACCCAAAAACGAACGAAATAAAATTTAAACCAAGGATAAAATTGAACCACAAAATACCCACAAAAGAAAACGTGATGAAATTAGTGTTTGAAGGGGCTGTAGTGTCACGCTTGCCTTGATCATTTAATATTTAATGCCAGTTAGGCGTCCTTATTCGCTATGAAACTTGAGAATGACAACATCACACCTATTTTTCCAACGAAATATGTCACCCAAGCATTATATCAAACATTACAAACAACAAAAATGAACTTTGTAAAACTGTTAGGCTAACGGGTTTTCCATAACCTCAATTGCAATCCGCTTCAATCTTCTTAAAGTTTGTCCTTCCGTGCCTATATTTGTATTTGTTGTGTCACTAACTTTTTAAGGGGTTGTTTAAACATGTTAAATGTTTCGCTCAATTTGGTGGCCATTCCCTCTCTCTCTGAATTTGAATAAGTGTTGTGACACAGTTCCTTTAAACATATATGTTGCTAAGACAGAATGAGCTCATTCTCTCTTGATGTTGCCTATTAGTCTAAACAAAAACAAACAAACAAACTAACAACCTTTATTATTACATCCAAATAGAGAATTTTACATGTTTCGATAGCAAATGAAAAGAAGAAATTGTTACATAAAATTATGCATTATGATAACAAAGATGTATAAGAGCTGAATAAACATACGTTTTTGTGCTCTCGCCTAGCTATAACAATGACATTTTTTAGCTTTTTTATACGGTGGTGACAGGTAAATTAAGTAGCAAAAAACACAATAAAACCAAAAAAGTATTAAGTAAATAACACACACATTGACACTATATGGAGATTGAAAGGAACGAATATGATCAATTAACTTTCAAATTGTCGAATCAGTAGATGTTGTTTTAGTAATCGTGGGAAGGAGTAATTTGGGAGGTCTTTATCTACTATCTATTTCACGGGTAACGTCAAGTAAAGTACGGTTAGGTAACGTCACTCTATCGGTCTTTTTTTACCCTACTACCAGTCAACTGGATTCAAGTGTTGTAGGACGAATAAACTGAAATGTGAACATTTCATTACCTTGCTCTCAAATAACGATGTAAACGGTTTCGCGTCTAACCCAGTCTTTTTTGCAATGCGAACCTTGCCAAATCTCGCCATGTATAGTTGTCTTCGTCCTCGAATCTGACTTTAGGTTTCCCTGATTAACATCTGCTCACATAAAAGGTCCACAGAGAATTTACCATCACTATGGAACAAAACGGCATGAAAGTCTTCAGGTTACTCATTTAGTAAGGTACTTTGTCTGAAACAAGCTATTCTCATGTATAATATACTCCTGCAAAGAGGAACTGCTCTTGTGGGAAGGCAAGGAAACAAACATCTCTTTATCGTGAGACCCCTACAAATTTCACCACAAAACCTTGTTCTGGAATTGTAAAGTTACAAGAGTTCTTGATATAAATCCCCGGTGAAGACGTTTAAGTAAATAAAAAGAGTGCTCATGCGCAGTTAGCAAAAATGCAAAGAATCACTTTTGTCCGCAAAGATGGCTCAGTGATGAATTTGGGAAGACTGGTATCAACACTGGGTATGAGCATTTGGGGACACTCTCCTTAGTCCTCTCTTTCTTTTTATTAAGAAAAAGGGCATATTTCTTTAATGAAATTTGAAAAAATTAACTTCTGAATTATACAGCGTTGTTAATCGTACAACGTATTTTTGAACGGTATAGCTGGTTAATTCGCTTTATTCAGAAAGTCTTAGGTTCGACCGCCCTAGTTTGGAGAGTTGTCGAATTTTTTTTTTGCGAGTCGCTGGTCATTCTTGAATTTGTTTTTTCTTCGTTTTTGCCTTCAAAAGAACAAACAGTGACCGCCTGTCTGTATCACAAGAACGACACGCGCCAAACCCAGCTTACCAAGGGTTTCAGGATCAGCAGTTACAGCGGCGGTCTTGTATTGAAAACCTGAGGGATGGTCTGGCGGACTGGTTTGTAATCAGACATACGAAGGATGAAGCGCTGTCAAGTGATTTGTTTTCTAACTACGGTTTTTACGCTTCGGATGCAACACAGGTGGGAGCTAGTCTTATATAACTGAAAAATAACACTGAAATCAAGAGGGCTGTATTTCCTGCAAGGAGGCCCAATTAAAGCCAGGAGAACGAGAGAAGCGCCATTTTTCTCTTTGAGGCTTCTCGCGTTCACTGAATTGTACAAAACGGGTCGTGGTACTTTATTCTCGTTGTCTAAATTCTTTTGCCAGTTTTAGTATATGCTCCAGGCGTTCAGCTCAGTGCAGTGTGGCGCAAATCAGTCAGAGAGAGGGACAAAATAAGGAGAAAGACCTCCCCCAACCCCGGGTTAGCACTGGCCCCAGAAATTCCCCTTTAGGCGAAAGAGTAAGGATGATAAAGTTTATTCAGTCAATTTCTGAAATTGTTCGAAATGTTCTTCTTCTTTTCTAGCAGAATACTAATTCACAGTTCATAGGATTGAACTCTTCAAAGTGAGTGAAATACAGATCATACACATAGCACTAGTGAAGAAGGATTATTCTAAATATGTCATCTTGTTTAGAACGCATGGAATTTTTACCCATCATTCTCAAATACTCTTGTAAAAACGAATATCATTTTCGTGAAGTGAAGAAGAGAATATTCAGTTTCTCTAGCAATGAACTGGATTCAAGTTGTAACAGAACGGTCTTACGATGATTCTGTGAACTCGTCAGTTTTTGCAATACCCATCAAACACACACGCCAGTTCGTTAAATTCTTGTGATAAATGAGTTAACGCCAAAAGCCTGTTTCAACCTCCTCTAAGTAAACAGTTAAAAATGCCTTAAACTCTAAGATGTGATCGAATATTTGAAAACGATAAGTGATCAAGGGTTAAAAATTTTTTTTTCAGTGGTAAGACACTCACTCTGACTAATTACTTGCTCGGTTAGGGGTGGAAGGTCATCTTCTAGTGGAAACAATTAAAGGTGGGAATTAGCTGCTGTCGCGCGGTGCACAACTTTTGCGTGCCTAAAAACCAATAATTAGTTAATAATTATCACCTTTTTAGCTTTCACTCTTAATAGCGACGTATTCAATATTCATACTCCAAGCTTATTTTTCCCCCAAATCGAGCCGGAAACGGAAATAAGCTCAACATGTTTAGCACCCCCAAAAACCTAGGAGAAGTAACAATCTTCTGGCTGGGGATAGGAAACGAGTTTTGGTTCGAGAATACGAGACTCTGCCTTATTGCAAATCTTGACTACCATCTTACAAAAATTTGATTTCTGTTTCAGATTCATCTGCTCATTTTGTGGCCGAATTCCTGCACTGATGTAGCGTTAAGAGCAGGCTTAGTCTCCAGCCTTGGGACACCCATCGAGATACCCGCGGCTGGAGCCGAGTCTACGATAGATCATGAGGTCTTCTCTACGACTGTGTTTCTTGATTCCAAAACTATTTTCTTTTCCGCTGCATTATAACTATTAAAAAAATGAAGTCGAAGAGTAGTGACGTTGTTTCTTCAATCAGAATATAAAAAATATGTATTTAAAACGATTTCTTGGAATATCAAAAAAACAGTCAGTTCTTTCGTTTAAATATTTAGTTACCTAGACAACTGTGTAATTTATGACAGAGGAATATTTTTATTGTAGAGTTTTAATAGGTGAAAACAAATTGTAAATAGTGTTGTTAATCAACTGCAAACTGTACACGGAGAGTCTTATTTTGTAAAATTCATTTCGAAATTAAACGTAACAGTTTACGAGAATATACTGTTGTTATTTTCTCTTACTTATATAAGCTACAAATTGGTGACAGAAACCCGTCGTTTTATTGAAAAATCACTACGTAACATGCAAACGTTTCGTAATTGGTTTGGTTACGGAAGCACCTAAAAAGGACAGAACGAAAGACTTCACCGGTGAGGTCAGCTTCCTTAAGTTACTAGTCCAGTTGCTATCGACCAAAAAAACAGCGAATTGTTCACTTTTGTGATAAAAGCATGAAACTTTGCCAGATTACTAACATCCCTAAGACTAACATTTCTGGATATGGAGCCAAGCCAAATTCACCACTGGACTCGAGTACTGCGCAGGACTCAAAATGGCCTACATGAAAGCGAGGCTGGCAATAGAAACACCTCTAATATACCTTCTTTGAGGTGATTTTATCAATAAAATGTCTAGATGATGTTAAAAAGGTAAGACAGAAGCCATTTGCTTTGTTTTAAACTGTTCATTGGGGTCACGTGACAATTTTTCCCTAATATTGCTAGGCATTATGGGAATTATTACGTTCAAAGCTTCTGTTCGTGTGTTTAATTGTGTTCCGGGGGAAAACTAGGTTCTTGAACATTCTTACTAAAGCTGAAGAACTTTAACGTTTTTTAACCTCATGAAATTTATCATGGAGCCGGATTCCTTTCCGTTAAAACGTAGAGTGCTTCATGGAAACGAGGTAAAAAATATATAGAAAATTGAGTAAAACTCGGCCCTTTTATTTTTGGAAAGATTGAAATAATGAAATGTTGCATTGCGGAATCGTCTACATATAGTATTGTCTTGTAGTTTGATTTTGATGGACTACTACGTCCCCTTGAAAGCTGGTTCCTAGAGCCCAGTCTCCCTGCAGTATTCAAGATGGCTGCGCTCATGTGGAACTACAGTTATTACTGGTAAGGAATTAATTGTTTTAAACATCATTTAAAGTATTATTTTGATACAAAAAATCATTGTAATTTGGATACCAAAATACGGTGAAACTTCTGCAGTAACTGAGATGATAAGAAAATATTAAATAATTAATTTTACAATGATAATGCATCTCTGCACAAGAATATGACTTGAACTCCTCTCTAGTTGTTTGACAAGTTTCAATATTTTTCCAAACTCTTTTTAGTTTCAGTTATATTTTTTGACGAATTCTCATGGATTGGGAAAAGTGTATCATTTGTCAGAAAAGTAAAGGCGAACCCCTACAATGTCCGGCAGTTTCTAAAAGAAAGGATGCAGGTGCAGGATACATTTCATTCGCTAAAAATCTTGTGGAATTCCAAAAGCATGGAATCATTCCTACTTTTTTAAAGATTAGTTGCTTAGACGAAGGACAGGGGATAACGCAGACTCTGTCAGATAGAAAGGCTTCTTGGCACAAGTCCTGTAGAGACCTTTTTAGCAATACTAAACTAGAGCGTGTAAAGAAGAGAAAACTGGATGAAATAGAGGATACAGAAAGAGACGAAAAGGACGAGAAAACATCAGCAGAAGAAAGCTCACATCTCAGCCCTGTTAAAAGTCGGAGATCTAGCCACCCGAAGTGTTTATCAGAAAACCATTGCTTCTTTTGTGATGAAACAGATAACCTTAGAAATCTCCACGCTGCGTCTACATTTGAAGTTGATCAGAAAGTAAGAAAATGTGCGGAGGCACTAAAAGACAGCAAACTTCTTGCCAAGCTTTCTGCTGGTGATATGATAGCTATCGAAGCAAAGTACCACGCCAAGTGCTTGGTTGGTTTGTATAATCGAGCGAGGATGTTGATGTTCACGGCAACAAATGACACAACTACTCCTGCCCTTAACCTTGATGAATTAGCGTTTGCAGAATTAATTGCCCATATAGATGAAACACTTCATGTAGAAGAACCAGCAGTGCTTATACTTTCTGAACTTGTTAAGTATTTTTCCTCTAAGCTACAGGAAGTTGGTCTTGGGTGTGAGAAAGTCAATGCCACTCGACTAAAGGAAAGAATTCTATCTGCCTATCCAGATCTAACTGCTCACACAGAAGGAAGAGACATCCTTCTCGTCCCACAAAATGAAATCGGTGGTGTCTTAAAGGAGGCAAAGAACGATTCTGATGCACAACATCTTGCAAGAGCGGCAACCATCATACAGCGGGACATTCTGCAAATGAAAAATTCCTTCAATGGTACATTTCCTCAAGAATGTCAGAAAGATTCTATCCCTGCATCGCTCAAAACTCTGATCAGTATGATCGTCAAAGGTTCAAACGTCAATGCAGACCCAGCTGAAAGTCAGGTTTGTCTTACCATTGCCCAGCTTATTGTCTTCAATAGTATTTCCCGTTATCGTAATAGCCCTCATTCAACTGGCAGTACACATCACATCAGATCCAGGGAGTGCCCCCTGCTAATTCACGGAACAACTAGGGACAAGTCCCTGGTAGATACATTCTACAAGTTAGGGATGTGTATTTCATATGACAGGCTCCTTTCCATATCAACAGACATAACGAACACTGTTTTAGAAAGATATGAGAGAGAACAGGTCGTTTGTCCAAGTAAATTGAGAAAGGGTCTATTCACTACAGGAGCGGTTGATAACATAGACCATAACCCAAGCTCCACAACTTGTAAGGACTCTTTCCATGGAACGGCAATTTCTCTAGTACAGCATCCAACCACTGTGAGTCCTGGAAACGACAGAGCAATTGATACATTTGATCCAACAGTTAAAAGTTCTGCGTCCAAAAAAATTGCACAACTACCTTTAAACTACAGTGAGGTGCCACCACTTACACTGGCGACAGGTGAGCTTTATGCTCCAAAGAACAGAGGACAGTTGATATCTTATTCTCAACAATTTCCAAACGATGAAACAAATGAAGAGCAAGACTGGCTCGAAAATGCCAAGAAACTGTTATCAACGGAAGAACTTCAGAAAAATGACAATGTTTCTTGGGCTGCGTATCGAGCAACACAGACATCGTTGTCCAGTCATGAGCCTGCCATAATTTCGCTTTTGCCAATGTTTACAGAAAATGCTCATTCGTTGGCTATGATAGCGCATTCTATGAGAGTAATTAGAGCTGCTGTCGCGCATGTTAATCCCTCTCAAACTCCAGTTATTGCTGTGGACCAGCCGTTGTTTGCCTTGGCCAAGGAAATTCAGTGGAGGCTTGGTGGTGTGTATGACGAAGATCGCTTTGTTTTTATGCTTGGCGGGCTTCACGTGGAAATGGCGTCCTGGAAAATGCTCGGCAAGTGGCTCACTGGCACTGGATGGGCAGAAACAGTTTGCAGTGCTGGAGTGGTGACACAAGGTGTGGCTGAATCTTTGCTTACTGCAAGCCATCTTAGTCGAACACGGCGGGCGCACCAAGTCACTATGATATGTCTGTATATCCTCATGTGTAGAGCATACCAGGAGTACGCT